GTGTGTGTGTGTGTGTGTGTGTGTGTGTGTGTAGTGGTGGTGGTAGTAGTTAAATGGAGAGAGGCTTTCTTGGAACTTGAATTCTACTGATTTGAGAGGTACTCATGAGCAGACATGCAAAACTAAGCCTAAAGTAGTTAAGCAGCTTTTGGTTTTAAGAATTTTAATAAGGGTTTTAGGAAGTAGGTATATAGAGTTCAAGAGGGCATAAATATAGCCATGTATGATGTGTGAGCTTCTCTTTATATGTAATGTAACATATAAATGTAATAAATAATCTTCTATCTATAGTGTAACTGGATATTGACTACTGTCCATTCTTTATTATCTGTAAAAAAAAAGTGAGATATGTAATTTCCTTAATTTTGAAATTTTATTCTTTATATATTATCTAATATAACTGGATATTAATTACACTATTATAATGTGACATGTAAATATATATAACTTTATATATATAAAGAGGGAAATCTCACAGATAAGGAGTAATTATATATCTGACTTATTTTATAAATAGTGAAGACTCCAGTTTGATCTAACATGGATTATATCCCAGCTACCATCCTAACATCCCAAATTACTGATGTCTGCTCTGAATTTGGACATCATTTCCTCCATGATGGGACTGTTCTTCCTAGGTTGGTACTGAATCCGCACCTAGTTTGAGATTGTATGCACACTTAAACTTGAACTCTCTAATTTCTGTTAGGGGAAATTTATCTTCTTCAAAAGGTTGTTTTGTGTTGGAATAATACTTTAAGGTATTTAAGAATGTGGCTTTCTTATGCTGTCCAGTAACAAGATAGATTATCATTGTATTAAAAATGTTTATTTGAGCCCACCTAACACTTGATCTCCTCTTGTTTATTTAAAAATTAGATTGAATAATTGCCCATTTCCTTTTTTTCTTTAAGTCAGATTAAAAGAGTCTCAGTGGCAGAATTATTCTCTTCCAGAACTATGTAAAAATAGAATTAAATTGAACACTTTAGGTAGTCAGTGTTTCTTAGTTGCAAGTGTGTGATTGCCTAAAATCTCAAAAGCATTCAGTTTTATAAAGGCATATTATGTTGAGTTGTTCACTTCTTCACTTTCTGAGATATAAGCATTTATTTTCATTTTAGGAATCTTTACCAGTTTCACCTGCATTTCAGAAATAAGATAAAATGTTAAAAAGATGGCAAGATATCAAGCTATGGCCATGCTCTAGAAAAGTGACAGTAGTAAAATGAATTAATTGTGATACCAACCCAAGTGTGCAGACATTACCTCTAAAAGAAGCATCAGTGAGGTATTGACCTACAGCCCAGTTCATGACTACAAATAAAAGGATATATTAAAAGATTTGTGGGGCACCTGCCTGGCTCAGTTGGTGGAGCATGCAACTCTTGATCTTGGGGTTGTGAGTCCGAGCCCCATGTTGGGTGTAGAATTACTTAAAGATAAAATCTTAAAAAAAAAAAAAAAAGATTTGTGATATTATCTATGAAGAGTTTTGACCCATAGGAGAAAAACATAATATAGTATGAAATATAATTTATATAATAAATAAATTTTAATATCTTCTAAAATGAGGTCTTTTTTAAAATTATAAATAATTCTATGGATTATTAGGAGGAGCATGGTGTTTAAAGTGAAGATATTTTTTTCTTGACATCTCTGAAATGTGGATTAATTGCACCTTCACATCTCAGCTGTATTTCCTTCAAATGACTAAGTTGTATTCAGTTTCATGAGTGGCATGTATAGTTGCCATAAATTTTTAAGCCATACTCTTTGTTTTGCCTTTTATATGAGTATGGTAGATCCTCAGTTTTGACTTTTGGAGAGTGAATAAAACAATTCAAATTCAACTAGTGTGTTTCTTAGAAGAATATAGTTAGCAGTTTTTTAAGCTTTAAAAATTCTATTATAGGATTAAATATGGTGATTTTTCTGAATTTTCAGTTATATAAGTTAGGCTGAATCATTACCATGTGAATATTCTCTGGCTCATCTCTGGCATAAATATAGTATAGGCTTTGAAGATAAATTTAATTTTTAAAATATTAAATAAATTGATTATTCTTAATTTTATTTTAATTAAGTAGTCCCTAAATTTAATAGCCCACAGATTCATTCTTTGGCTTATTGCTTACAGTTGTAGGTAATTATTGTTAATTCAGTTCCTAGTTTGTGATGAAGTGCTCCCTACTGTATGCTTGCCTTGCTTTCACCTAGAATCTAGGGCCATTACTTTCTGTAACCATTTCAGTGAGCTGCCATAGTTTTCAGTCTGTACTGTCACCTGATCCAAGCATGCGCCAAAATATCCACTGTTTCTGGCTCCTGTCTGCTGAATCTGCTTTGCAAAACCCTTTGTTCTCTGAGCTTTTGCTTAAGCCAAAAACAAAATTTAACAAATTCTTTGGAGTGTGGACATATGCCATTTGCTTCCTTAGCTCCCATGCTATGTAACTCTTTAGCTTTTATTAAACTTGTAAATACTTTATTAAATACAACAATGGCATCCCCATGTGCAGTTGTGTGGCTCATGTGTCAAAATAAAGGCTGCTTGTGAACCTGTCAGAAGAATATGAATGCTCCACTTGCGCTGCATTCAGCTTTTTATTTTGTTTATTATTTTCTTAAATCAGCCACTTATTCTTTCATAGTTTTTGGTTTAATTATCTGATTATTTTATGTGTTATACCAAGGTAAGTTTGATGTAAATAAACTTTGTATTCTATGTGGTTATATGTATTTCATAGTAATTATTATTACATACATTTCCATTTAGACATGCTGGCCATTTCTAAATAAATATATCCTGAACTTAAAATAAGTAACTTCCTCCATTTTTTTGAAATAAATTTAAAAAACAATGTTATGGATTACTTTCTGTAAAATTCAATTTAAAACAGAAAGGCTACCATGTATTACTTGTGCCACAGATGTAGGCAAATCTAATGTGAGAAAAATCTGTTTTTACAGCATACAGTTACTTGCTTTAGCAAATAATATTTTAAACTCCTAGAAAGGTTTAAAAAGTAAATAGCAGGTTCAACTAGTGTTTTTAAAGAAAAGTTTAAGCTTTATTTTACACAGTTTTTCAGGGAAAATAGTTATTTTCTAAACTGAGATATATTTCTATTATTATTTTTGATACCTGTTTTCAGAGAATCATGAATAATTTGATAGATTGAGCAGCTGCTTGAATAAGTTTTTGTCTTATGTTAAAAATTCCCTTATTAGGAAAGGAAGATGTTAAATAGATACCCAAATTGGTCTGGGAACATGTATGCCTAAAAAAAGAGAATGGATTTGATAGGGTATTTGTGCTGTTAATGTCTATATTTCAGGGGGAATATGAAGAAATTCTTTAACATAATGTATGTGCAAAATAGGGCTACCTAATTGCCTTACACATTTCTTAATTCATAATATTGATTGCTAATACCATGTTGTAGTCTTTTCTATTTCTCCTCTTTATTTTATCTCGTCCTTGGATCTTTTCCTCAGTTTCCTGGCGTCTGCATTTCTTTGTTTTTTTCTGAAAGAAAGTTTTAGTGTAGCTCTGTCTTGGATCCAAAACTTTAATACAAGAACTGGCTGGCATCATTTGTAGCTCTGGCTTTTATCTCATTTCTCCCTTTTGCTGGTCTCCTCCCTGTGGAGGAAACAAAATCACATCATAGGAATGTCAGCTATAACAAGCCTTTTAACCTTTCTTTATTTTGCTGTCTTCAGTATTTTACTAGTGAGTATAATTCCAATTATTCTACTTATTTAAAAAACATTTTGAAAACTGGATATATACTGAAATTCAAAAACGCAGTTTTTGGATTGTTTGATTTTCAGTTTTAATAGTGCCTTTTATGTGGAAAATTTACAATAAGAGGTTAGCCTCCTATTTAGAGTTAGATTAAGTTTTTTCTATCCCAAATTGTTCCCAAATGAAATTTGCCCCAAAAAGAAACATTAGAATATGCTCATTATAGACTGATTTGCACATAAAATGTTACTATAATTTGCAGCTGCTCTTCCCCAGTGGTTTGCAGCCACATGCACGTGATTAGGCCATATGTGTGCCAGATGCTCCATTTATAATGCCCCATTACAAGCAGTGTTGGACTCCCTGTGGTAATAAAATGCAGTGCGGTGATTCTGAGGCATTTTCTTAATTACAGAACCATACATGAAGTTACAGTGTGTTAACTGAAATTAACCAGATTATTTGTCATAATCTTTAAATGTATTTGCTTTTTTTATTTTAAATTGGTTAGTCCCTTCATTTCTTGTTACTTTGCTTTAGGACCCACAAGGATGGCTACATGGCTTTCTCTTTTTTAACACTGACAAACCTTTGCCTTGGAAAGAACCTAGAATATAGTGGGTTATAAAAAAAAATAGGTACCAGGAAATGAAATCAGAATTTAAATTAAATTTATGGATATGACTCAAAATGTTCACTGAGCAAGGTGAGTGAGACACAGAATATCCTCTCAGTTTAGGATTAGAAACTGGAAACTCTGGGTCTGCATTTTAAGTTGTATCTAATAAAATACATCCCTATAGATGTCCCCTGAAGTAATAAAGCAAATAGAACTACTTGGTTTATTTTCTGTCACTCAAGTTTAAAATGTTAAACTTTTTGAGAAGTAACATTTTAAATTAAAATGTTAATAAGCATTTTGAGAAGTAACATTTTAAACATGTGAAGTTAGTTTTAAAATCTGTTATAGACCAGTATGTCTTTGCCTTCCAGAGTATGTTTATTTTAAACATTTCTTTATCATATAGACAATGTGCTATTGAGTAGTGAACTGATTTAAAATTTATTTTTCAGATGAACCAGAAACTCGAGATGCGTGGTGGGCAGAAATCAGACAAGAAATAAAATCACATGCTAAAGCATTAGGCTGTCATGCTGTAGTGGGCTACAGTGAATCAACTAGCATCTGGTAAATGATAATAACTTGATTTTCTAGATGCTGTAGTTTACAGATTGTCATCTGAAAGGGTAAAAGGTTTATGCAAGTATAGAAAAAAGAATTGTGGCGTGATCTAGGAGCATGGGCTTTGGAGTACATCAGACCAAGGTCCATGTGCCACTTTGGCCACTTAATTGCTGTGAGACTTTGGAAAAGTAACTACTCCTCTGAGCCTCAATTTCTACGTTGAAATGGAGTTAATGATCACTTATCAATTAAGATTATTGAAGAATTAAATGAGAATTGATACTGGCACATAGCAAGTACTAATTCTAGGCCAACTTTACTCCACTTTGTGACCCTGCTAACTCCTTCCTCTGGGATATTGGGACCCTTGATCTGTTGTAAATGAACACCATTTTTCTTTAAAGTTTGTCTGTAAGCTCTTTCTGCCTTCTATTACTAATTTGTAACATAAATTTCTCCTGCCAACACATCATCCTTCCTATCTCTGCCAAGTTAGGAAGGGACTTCCATACTCTTACTCCGAATTCCTTTTTCTCCTACCTTTCATTTGAATAACCTCTCTTACTTTAAAGTCCTTGCCATTCCACAGTTCAGACTTTTCTACTTCCAAAACATTCTCCCGCCTTTCTTAATTCTCTGGTATCTCCACCAGTTGAACATGATTACCCTCCTTCTAACAGCTTGACCTTAATGCTTTCTCATTCTCAAGTCTTCCTCTATCCCCACTTAACTTTCAACCACATTTTGGACTTCATTATTGCTCAAAACTATTTGCCTTTAAAAATTTGAAACTATAAAATTTCACTCTTGGATCACAGCTTAATATTTTCCACCCACCTCATTTGCCCATTTACACCTGGTTTATTTTGACACTTACCTTAACCAAGACTTTGCCCAGTTCCTTACTCAGGTTCTGATTTAACTTTCTGACTGCCATTGATGAACCCTATTTTCAACCCCTTGAAAAGTTTATAACAGATAACATCTAGAAACTGACCTTCTGCTGTTTATTTTTCCACCTATTCTTGGATAATTCTTACTGTCAGCTGTTACCTGGGTAATTCTTTTATACATATGGTGGTCTTTAGTGTTAGAGAAGAATGATTAGACTCCAGTAAATGTGGACATTACAGAGCCAAGCCATGCTGTTTCATCTTCTGAGGGCCCTTTCTTTTGCCGACCATGTGTGATATTCTTGCACCTTTCTGTCCCCAGTGTAGCTATTCTACTTGTGTTAAACTAGTAATTTGTTATGCTTATTCTGCCTTACTTCCCAATAGATAGTTTTGGCTCATTCATAGTTTTAGTGTCATAGCTTTCAGGTCCTAAGGTTATGGTCTTAAAAGACGTAGTTTTTTGTTTTGTTTTTTTAAGATTTTAATTATTTACTCAGAGAGAGAGAGCAGGGGGAGGGGTAGAGGGAGAGAGAGAATCCCAAGCACACTCTGCACTGAGCACAGAGCCTGACTCGGGGCTCGATTCCACGACCCAGAGCTCATGACCTGAGCCGAAATCAAGAGTCAGTTAACCCACTGAGCCACCCAGGGGCCCTTAAAAGACATAGTTTTTGCCATCAGATTTCTCAGTGCCCACTTAAACACTTAAAAACCTGGCGTCTCTCTACTAAATCACAGATCAAGTGACCATTTCTTTCATGTCCTTTCAGGCTTCTGGTCCATTTATACTTTGTTTCCATTATTTTGTCCCTAGACTGCTGCTTTTCTCATTTGCTTTGGGGGATTTTATTCAATAATTGTATTGATTATTTAAAATTAGGTGATATGTAATCAAGAATTCCAAAGAATTCTTTTGAAAATCACTTTTTGTCTTACATATAATGATGTAATTTAAGCTCCATTTAGTGTATTTTGGATATTATTTGTTTCAGATACCTTTTGTTATTAAGTTTAAATTAAGCTATAGCAATATTGACATTGATCATTACATATTAAGCTTTTAAAGTAATTTTAATAAACTTTAACATGCATTTAAAGAGTGCTTTAATACAGTTTTATGGATTATTGCTGAATTCAGCAATATAATTTGTTACTACTTTTATTTTGAAACATTCCAGTATTTATCAGTTTTACCATATTTTAAAGGAATTTACTGTCATTAATATTATACTTTATCTTTTATACCTTTTAAGTAATAATTCTTGCCCTTTTCATTTTAATAATTATTTCTATTTTTTATCCTAGAGTAGGAGATAATCCTATGATATTATTAATATTTAGTAGTCTAACTTGAATTTAAATTGTCACCCTTATAAACACTTTGATATTTAACATTTTCCAAAGCTAGGTTGCCTGAAGATATTAACTATTTTATATTCTTTTCTTTTATAGTGAAGAGGTCTGTATTTTATCTGCATCCGGCACGGCAGCTGTACTCAACCCTAGATTTCTGCAGGATGGCACCGTGGAGGGCTGTTTGGAGCAGAGGTTGTCATGGCAGCCTGGCTTATTTTCTATAAGGGCAAAGAAGGGAGAAGTTGACTTCTAACTTTTAGAGCCAGGATAGTTCTGTATGAGGGTGGGTTACTGTGGTGCACTGTAGAAATCAGGACCAGTGTACTTTACTGCTTTTTACCTAACCTGTAGCAATAGAGAAGTACTGAGTTCTGTACTACGTGACACACCTTATTATAATTTTCCTAATATCTTGATAAATTACATGTGTGACTCTCAAAGAATTTCAAGTATATATTTTTTTGTTTGTTACACTATAGAAATAATTTTTTATTTTTTCCTTTCCCTTTGTCTTACCTCTGAAACAGAAAAAGGTCATGAAACAATTTGCATACAGAAAATTTATAATTTACAAAACAATCAAAACACTATATTGTACCAAAATTATATATAAAAGTTCCTGGAAAGTGAAGTATAACTTTAATGTTTGTGAAAGAGAAAGTAAAAGTGAAATTATTAATTTGAGATTAAAATTAGATTACTTTTTAGTTTATTTATTCATCCCTTAATCTGTTGGCTTCCATAAATGTCAAAAATGCTTTCATAAACAGATGAAATTATCAAATATACATACAGAAAACTATTAGTTTGGTGCCAGAGTATACCTGGATAATATAAATTTTAATTACCCCTTACTCCACTGTATGCGTATTTGCTTTTTTTTAGTATAAATTTGCAAGTCTCTGTATAACAAAGAAATATGAAGGAGAAATAGCTCAGGTAGGCAAATAGAAGACCTTGGTCAGTTCCTTCTTTAGCTTGTATTAAAAATGGATTTTGACTGTAGTATATTACTGAGCATTGAAAGTCATCAAAAATAGGAAAATAGAGGTGTGGAACATTTTGAAGTATGTTAAAAATCAGAGTGTTCTGTTGAGAAAACTGCCTGCCGGTGAGTTGTCCCAGTGCTGCAACACAGTTTTGACACATGTCAGTTGATTTCATTCTTGAGTAGATAGAAGCCTGATTTAACAAATGACATTTCCCATGCAGCTTGATTATTTTGGTATTGTGGCTTGGATGGATACAGTGAATTCTCTTATATGGCAATCTAGCGCAACAGATACCATCCCTATCTGTAAAAGAGGAAAATGTCTTTTTTTCTTGCTATAAAATTATTTCTGCTTACTAGAGAAAATTTGAAAAATATACGAGCGTCGAAGGAAGAAAACATTCTCTGTGATCTCAGTATTCAAAGACAATCCCTTTTGTATATTTCATATTTAAAATGCTTTCTTAAATTTAAATACTTCTATTTTTATGCCTATGATATTACATCACTTAAGTTCAAATTTCTGTGAGGTGTTTAGTTAAAAATTGCCCCAGTTTTCATCCTTTTATGCCCCTTTGTAACTCGCGGGCTTTGGTTCAAACAACCTGACATTAGAATCTGAAGTCTGCTACTTAGTATTTAGTGTTACTGAATAAGTTACTTAGTATCTCAGGTTTGTTTCAGGCCAAGAAGAACTAGTTTTTGTTACTGTTTGCTGCATATTACATTGGGGAGGGGATGGTGTTTAGCTGTGTGTTCTTACTTATCTTCAAAGAAAATGAGCCTTTCTGGGTAGATATTATTATTCTAGTTTTATAGAGGAGGCTCTGAGAAGTTTAATGACTTGTGCAAAGTCACACAACTTCACTTAGAATCTGTTTGATTTTCCTGTTACTTTTAATATACCAGAATGCCATCTCAACAATAAAAGAATAATACCTGGGATTGATTAGATTTAGAAGGTTATTGTGGATATTCAGTGAAATAATGTGTATAAGAAATTTGCAGGAAGCCTGACTTGTAGTAGATACAGTATGAGTTTCCTTTCTCCTTTTTAATTTGTCCACTTGACAAGCATCAACTTCTAACAGGTTGCTTTAGCTTGGAGTGAATAGGGAACATCTTTCCAGAGCCCTAGAAGGTGTGGCTGTATGAAAGTCTGGAGTTCTCCCTGGAACTTCCTTCTGCTTCCATTTCTGTTGTTCCCCGAATTTCCTTAGATTGGAAGAGTGAAAAAAATACTTAATCATTCTAAAATGAATTAATAAACAACATTATTGCAACAAACATTTTACAATGATTGGGAAGGTTGTGTGTTGTCATTTGTGGTTTATATATGATATATATATTGTTTGTGAAACAGTTGTATGGTTTCTCAGAAATCATAAAGCAGTCATTGGAAATTAGAAATGTTAGATTATGCCTACTTTTGACTTTTTAAATTTTTAATGGGTTTGTTTTTGATCATAATTTTTTTTTTTTTTTCCAAATTGTTAGGTTGTCTGGTTAAAGAGATTTTTTTCCTTGGGATTTTTTTGTGATTATATTTGAGTTATATTTGTCAGATAGTAGGAAAATGTCACCCATACCTAACCATTTATTTTTATGTTGTATCACAAAGAATAAGCTCTCAGATAATAGTGGTTTTTGTCAGGTGGGACACCCACAAACATATGAATTGATGCAATCCAGTGACTACTTGTGTAAGTCTTTTCTCTCATACGAAAGTGTATGGTTCTTATTTCATGGTCATTTTTAATTCTTAGTAGTCATAGTGGTACTCTCATAACCTACTGTGGAAGTTGTGTAGTTTGTACATAAGTACTGTATATGAAAAATATGTTTTTGAAAAAATGCATAGAATTTTAAAGAATGCTTCAATTTTTTTCTTGATGTATTCATATAGGCTAGAAGAAAATTTGCCTGCAGGCTGTGGATTTTGCCACATACCATATGATGAACTGAATATGCCATTTCCAGCTCATCTCACATACTGCTATAACTGCAGAAAACAAAAAGTTCCTGATGTTCTCTTTACAACTATAGACCTCCCTATAGATGCAACAGTTATTGGAAAAGGTTGTCTTATTCAAGCAAGGTATATTTGTGCAAATAGTATTTGGAGTCTTCAAAAGAGTTATGGGATATGACGTCAGATAGACCTGTTTCAAATGTCAGCTGTACTGTTTCCTATCTGTGTGATCCTGGGCAGGCTGGGCAATGCTATCCAAATCTTGTATTTAATCACATAGAAAATTGAGAGGAAGAATACACTCTTTATAAAACTCAAATAAGTTCATATGCAAAAGCAGTTTTAGGGGCGCCTGGGTGGCTCAGTCGCTAAACGTCTGCCTTCAGCTCAGGTCATGGTCCCAGGGTCCTGGGATCGAGCCCCGCATCGGGTTCCCTGCTTGGCGGGAAGCCTGCTTCTCCCTCCTCCACTCCCCCTGCTTGTGTTCCCTCTGTCGCTGTGTCTCTCTCTGTCAAATAAATAAATAAAATCTTTAAAAAAAAAAAAAGGCAGTTTTAAACATTTAAATTCTGTACAGATGTTTATTATTATGAAGATTACTGATTAACCTGTTGTGGGATAGTAATGTGGCTCTGTTTTAAGGACATTAAATATGTAATACATTTTAGAAATTATTTTTTTTTCTTTTAAAGAATAATGCCATGTAGTGTTTCTTTTACTACTTCATTTAGCTGTTAACAGTTCCTTTTAGAATGTACTGGAGTAGGAAATGATGAATTATGGTTGGCATACAGGAAGCAGCCATAACTGTCTAGGTCACTAACAACTGCCAGGTTACCAAATCCATTGAGCGGTTCTGTCCTCATCTTACTTGACATCTCAGCAGTATCATACAGTTGATCATTTTCTCCTTCATATTTCTTTGACTTCATAGTGCCCCCTGCCACCACCACCCCAGGTTTTTCCTACCTTTATGTATAATCCTTAGTCTCCTTGTTGATTCCTCCTCCTTTTCTTTTTTTAAGATTTTTTATTTATTTGATAGAGACACAGTGAGAGAGGGAACACAAGCAGGGGGAGTGGGAGAGGGAGAAGCAGGCTTCCCACGGAGCAGCGAGCCTGATGCGGGGCTCCATCCCAGGACCCTGGGATCATGACCTGAGCCGAAGGCAGACGCTTAACGACTGAGCCACCCACGCACCCCTCCTCCTCCTCTTCTTGATCCTAGAATGGCCACGGGTCTGGACCCTCTTCTCAAAGCCCCAGTTGAACTCATCAATTCCTGTAGGTCTGTGTGCTTTCCATATGTCTTTGACACCCAGATTTATAACTCTAGTGCAGAACTTTCTTCTGAGCTTCAGACTCATATACTTTTGTACCCTATTTTGAAGTCTTGTAGGCTCACATACTTTGTTCTGAATTGAACGGCTGATTTTCTCCACTTCTTTCATATTAGCCTTCTTTATTTTATTTTATTTTTATTTTATTTCATTATTTATTTATTAAAGATTTTATTTATTTATTTGTCAGAGAGAGCACAAGCTGGCTCCCTGCTGAGCAAGGAGCCTGATGTGGGACTCAATCCCAGGACCCTGGGATCATGACCCGAGTTGAAGGCATACTCTTTTTTTTTTAAATATTTATTTATTTGACAGAGAGACAGCGAGAAAGGGAACATAAGCAGGGGGAGTGGGAGAGGGAGAAGCAGGCTTCCCGCAGAGCAGGGAGCCCGATGCAGGGGTCGATCCCAGGATCCTGGGATCATGACCTGAGCCACCCAGGGGCCCCGAAGGCAGACTCTTAATTTACTGAACCACCCAGGCGTCCCTAGCCTTCTTTATTATGATGAATGATCTCTTTGCTCTGTCCAGTTCTTCATGCCAAGTATGGTATTCTTTGACACTGTCCTCCTGCCTAACCTCCCTGCATCAGAGTTATCTTACAAAGTCATGTTCAGTTTTATTTTTGAATGTATTTCTGATCTATTTACTTTTGCTTTCATTTCCTCTTACATCTTAGACCTTCTATTTGGGATTGTCTTTATTTTGCTAATACCCTTTAGTATTTATTTTGGTGGGTCTGCTGGTGGTGAACTGTCTATTTTTGCTTGTCTGGAAATATTTACTTACCTTGAAAAGATATTTTGGGCTGCCACATTTATTTTCTTATAGCACATTGAAGATACCTCTCCATTGCCTTCTGGCTTTCATTGCTACTGTTGAGAAATAACCTATTAGATTAACTTTTATTCCTTTGAAGATAACCTTCTCCCCACCCCCAACCCAGGTTTGTGAGTTATTCTATTTGTCTTTGGTTTTCTGCAGTTTCCCTATGAAATGTTAGGTATGGAATTCTTTTATCCTAATTGTTGTATATTGGATTTCTTGAATCTGTAGATTCTTTCATGTGCTTTAGAAAATTTTTAGATATTAGTTCTTCTATGTTTCATCTCTTTTCTTGATACTGTAATTAAAAATGTTAGACTTTCTCACTGCCTCCTCTATGTTATTCTCTTTTCTGTATTTTCTGTCTTTTTGTCTATGTCATATTTTGGATACTTCCTTTTTTTTAATATTTTATTTATTTATTTGACAGAGAGAGAGAGAGCACATGCAGGGGGAATGGCAGGCAGAGGGAGAGGGAGAAGCAGGTTTCCTGCTGAGCGGGGAGCCCAACGTGGGGCTCGATCCCAGGACCCTGGGATCATGACCTGAGCCGAAGGCAGATGCTTAACTGACTGAGCCACCCAGGCACCTCTGGATATTTTCTTATCTATCTTTCAGTTCTTTAATTCTCTCTTCAGCTGTCTCTCACATTCTAGTAAGCCCAATAATTGGGGTTTTAAATTTTTCATAATCTATTTTTATTTCTATAAGTTTTATTTTGTTCTTTTCAAATCTAATATGTTATAGCCTGTGACTGATTCTTTAATGGATAGTTGTTTTTTTTTTATTCATTTGAGACAGAGATAGAGAGAGCATGAGCAGTGGGAGAGGCAGAGGGAGAGGGAGAAGCAGACTCCCCGCTGAGCCAGGAGCCCAATGTGGGGCTCGATCCCAGGACCCTGGCATCATGACCTGAGCCGAAGGCAGATGCTTAACCATCTAAGCCACGCAGGCGCCCCATGGATAGTTTTAATATCTGAAATTTTTTGTATTCTGTTATTTCTGTTCATTATTATTCATTGTGTTTTGTTTCCTTAGACTGTGATTGGCTCACAGGAAGTTGCAAAAGTGGTACAAAGAATCCCATTTACTCTTCACCCAGTTTCCCTCATTGGTGACATCTTATACAGCTATGTAGAGTATCAACTAGAAAATTAACATTGGTGTAATACTGTTTACTATACACCTTGCTCAGTGTTTATACTTTTTTAAACTTGTATTCATTTATGTATTTGTGTGTATATGTATAGTTCTGTGCAAACTTTATCCCACCAGTAGATTTGTGTAACCACCACCATAGTTAAGACACAGAACTGTGTTCCATTACCACAAAAGAATCTCCTTGTGCTGTCTCCTTATGTTTATATTCTCCACTAACCCCTTGCCCTGGTCCTGTGATGCTTTTAAGAAGATTCTTAAAAATATATAAATTTATCCAGTTTTTTGTTTGTTTGTTTGTTTTAGGTAGGAAGGAGTAAGTGTCCATCAGCAGTTTTCAGAGTGTCATCCCTAGACCAATAACATCACCATCCTTGAAAGAACTTATAGAAATGCAGATTCTCAGGCTCTACTCCAGACCTATTGAATCAGAAACTCCTGGGATGGGTCCTAGTAATTGTTCTTTAATGAGCTCTCAAGCTAAAGATTGATAACTACTAACCTAAATACCCTGGTTTGTCAGTTTTGGGATCTTTCCTTCATCTTTACTGCTACCTTTTTAGTCTAAGCTCTCATTGTCACATGTATTGCTTTTTGCAACCATCTCCTTATCAGTTATGTCATCCTTATCCCATGCTCTGTATAGCAATATAAATGATATCTTAAAACATAAATTGGATCATGTTACTACTTAAAACCTATCTGGAGTTTCTTATTGCTGGTAGAATAAAATCAAACTCCTTACCATGACCTGTAAGCCCCTAACATGATCATGCCTTGCTTAACTGCACCCCCATCCGTACTACTCTCACCCTTCACTTTAGCGTAGTGGTCTCCTTTTGGTTCTGCTAATATGCCAGCCCCATTCTGTAATTGTCTTTCTCCAGCTCTCTTGGTTCCATCTTGTTTTTAAGATCCCAGGTCAGGCATCATCTCTCCTGTGAGGCCTTCTCTCTATTTATTCCCACTCACTTCACCTGGTTCATTTTCTTCAGACAAGTTGTTACCTTGTTTCTTTGTTTATCCCTCCACCCTCCACTGGAATATAACCATGAGAATAGGGACTCTGTGTTTTGTTTGTTGATTAGTGCTTACCACCTGGAACAGTGCCTGGCACCTGGTAGATACTCAGGAAAGTTTTGTGTTCTTTTAATGAGTAAATTAACTTTTTTCCTTTGCTATCCAGTCATCATATGATCACATGGAGATATGAAACCTAAAATTTTAAATTATATTCTCTAACAATTTTAATTGGTATTTTTTTCATTTCTGGAGATTTTGAGATTTTTCTTTTTCATTTATTAAAATAGGACTTTTAGCAAAGGCATACACAATGAAAACAATGGCAGAAAAGATTATTGATATAACTTAATAAGCCCATTTGAAACAAATAAATGTTTTATTAGGTACACTTATAGAAAGTTTTAAAAATTGGACATTTCTTAAGATGGTACAAAGAATACTGTCTAGTGGCTAACTTATTTTCCTTAACAGGTTGTGTCGCTTAAAAAAGAAAGCACAGGCAGAAGCAAATGCCACAGCTATCAGTAATCTGTTGCCATTTATGGAATATGAAGTGCATACTCAGCTAATGAATAAACTAAAACTCAAAGGAATGAATGCTTTATTTGGACTGAGAATTCAGATCACAGTGGGTGAAAATATGTTGATGGGCTTAGCGGTAAGTTTAGATGTTTTGGTTTTGTTTTGTGATTCCTGTAGTTGTAATAGATTCTGTTTTGTGTGATTCAAAGAGTCTTTTAAAAGAACTTATTTAAAGAAACTGGCATTAAGATCTTTAAGGGTTGGGGACATTATAAGAAATAAAAAAATCTGGTGATAGGCTTTTAAATATTTTATTTTTACAATTATTTATGAATTATTTAAAATTCAACTAATAAAATTATATAGAATTTATTTATATTTATATTATTATATTTTTATATTCTGACCATAATCTCAATAGTCAGATTTCTAAAAATTATCATATGTAGCTTGTTTAGTAAGTTGGTCATCATTGTTCTGGACTTTATAATTTTTTATGCATTGCTAAAACAGGTTTTCTCCTCAGCACTGTTGACATCTGGGACTGGAAAACTCTTCATTGTAGGGGGCCGTCTTGTTCATTGTAGAATGTTTAGCAGCCACCCTGGCCTATGCCCACTAGATGCTATAATGGCTTCCCTTCAGTGTGACAAGCAAAAATGTTTCCATACATTACCAGATGTCCCTTAGGGTGCAGAATCACTCCTGAGGGGGAGGACCACTATGCTAAAATGATCTTTAGTTGTATGGAGAAAATAAAGCAATACATATGAAACACTGCCTACTGCTGGATAGAGAATTAAGTTTCACCATAAATGTGCACCTGTGGTCAACAGTGGAATGTGCAATTAAGTATGTGTTTCTTTTCTTTTCTTTTTTTTTTTTTTTTTAAAGTATGTTTTTCTTAAGTGTTGATAAATTGTGAGGCAGTGGAGGGGTGCTGGGTGGCTCAGTGGGTTAAGCGTCCGACTCTTGATCTTGGCTCAGGTCTTGATGTCAGCAGGGTTGTGAGTTTGAGCCAGCACTGGGCTCTATCCTGGGCGTGGAGCCTACTTAAAAAAATAGAAGAAGAAATATTGTGAGGGAGTGGAAAGCTCTTTATCTCAGCCTTATGTTCACCTTGGCTTCTATAGTAGAAAAGAAGTTCTGACTAGAAAGTTGTCAGTGGGGAAACAAGAGTTGTCTTTATAAGTCATCTGAGACCCAGAGAACTAGGTGCTTGCAAAATACATATTGACCAGGTAGAAACTGATTAACAGTATTTATGGAAATCCTCTCCTATTTTAGACACTTTGCTAGCTAGAATCTTTATCTGTGACACTGGCACTTTTCAAATTGGAATTCTCTGCCATCTTTCTGAGATGCATAAAAATTTAAAGAAATTTATAGAACTTGGATTTTTTTTTCTCCGTGTGAGTTTGTAGATAAAATGCTAAACTATTTCCTGTTCATACATTTACAAATATGTATATTTCTGTAGGTAGGGGATAATTGTGTGGTGATGATAAACAAATCAAGTAATCACAATTTTTTAACAAGAGAAATTTGCAATGATTAATGAAAGTAATCTGATTTATATTAAAATGTTTGATATCTAGATTAACTTGTGAAGAAAGTGTTCATTATAATTCATTCATTTAAAACTCGCATGCTTAGCAATTATTACAAATGTATAATTTGGGCTTAATACAAAACTGTAGTTATTGGTGGGTGTCTGTGAGAACTAAGAGCTTGATTCAGATTCAAAGATTTAAAAAGCATTGTGCCAACTGTATCAAATACTTCTGATGGTTGAGCCCCAGGAAACTGTTTTTTCAATGCAATTTATTTTTTACAATCATAAGGTAAAAATTTAAAAGTGCTGTTGGGTATGCAGTGAAAAGTAAATCCTTCTTTCATTGCTGATCCACCTACCTACCCAGGATTCTTGCCAGAAGCAACCAATTCCTGTTACCAGTTACGTGTTTCTGTGCTCTTTCAACATATGTCCAGTACGTGTACTGATGCTAATTATCTTTTTCCTGTAAGGCAAAGACAGCTTTCCTAAATATGAAAACTTAAGGACTATTATTCTTTAGCTATTTTTTCTGATTATTTCCCCCATTATTTTTACAAGTCGGCCACAGGTGTCTATTTAGCAGCTTTACCAACGCCTGGTGGCATTCAGATTGCTGGGAAGACTCCTAATGATGGCTCCTACGAACAGCATATATCGCATATGCAAAAGAAGATAAATGACACAATTGCTAAAAATAAAGAATTATATGAAATCAATCCTCCAGTAAGTAAAATAAATCTACATTGTGAATATGTAAGTTACTGTCTAGGGGCTAGTTTATTTTGGGGTTATCTTATTTTGGACATAAAATACTTCTTTTTCACTGTTGAAAATTGTTCTCCTCATTACTCATTCTTTTCACCTCCCTTTACAATCATGATCAAATGTCTCCTTTTAGGGAGCTGACTCTGACTACCTTATTTGAAAATTGTATTATCCCATCAATTTTTGATACTCCCTATCCCCCTTCTGTGTTTTATTGTTTTTTGTTTCTCTTATCTGTGTGTATGTGTGTGTGTGTAAGCACAAAGAAATATGTTTTTGATTTTTGTAATTGCTTGTTACTCCTAGTGGAATGAAGCTCCCCTAGGGTTGTATTCCTGAGGCCCAGAACAGTTCTTCCTAGTAGTAGCCTCTTGATAAATATTGCTGAATGATTAAATAAATGTTTAAATGTTCATTTTTAGTAAAAGATTGCTTTTCTATATGATTAAAATGTGAAAGAATACACCATTTTTCAGTTTCAGCTTCTTTCTTGGGATTTCCCTACCAGTCACTTCCATAGTCAATCTTTGATACCAAATTTATAGTAGGTATCACAGTGTTGGGGTGCCTTATAGCCAGAGTCTGAATTGAAGGAAAGAAGTGTTGGAGTTAGAATGAATCTATTTGTTTTTTATGAGTCTCTGATAATGAAATACTTCTGTAAAAGGAAAGTGTTTGGGTAACATTATTGTTATTATTTGATTTCATACACATTTTGGTTGGTTGTCTGGGACAGTACCTCTGCATTCTGCCTTCAGACTTACAGCTTTGTAGCAGAGTTAAGCTGAGAGGAATTTTAAAGATGTGACAGAGCTACACTCTTAAGTGTGGTAGACAGTGGTCACATGTGGCTATAGGGCACTTGGTATGTGTCTGGTCTGAATTGAGAGGTGCTATCAGTATAAAATACACAACTAGATTTTGAAGACTTAGTATGAAAAAGAATGTAAATTATCTCGAGTATTTTTAATTTTGATTGCATGTTGAAAATGTAATCTTTTGGATACAGTGAATTAAATAAAATATTTTATTAACATTGATTTTGTTTCTTTTTGATTTTATTACCTGTGGGGCTAACTTTATATTTCTATTGAACAGTGCTGATATAGAGCTTCTTTAAATTCACTAAGAAAGTTGGTGTGTTAATATATTAATGCTTAAATAGCTATTGTAAAAGCTTTCCACACAACACTACTGACTACTTGTTTGCAGTACATGATTTTTCTTTTATAATTATGTTTTGATATTTGAACATTTACAAATTGCATTTATGCCTGTTGGGGAGAATGATTTGCAAAGCTTTATGTTAGGGCTCCATGATACAAGCTGAACTCTCTTGCTTACCAGTATTTATCAACTGTGTACTTCTGTGCTGACCTCTGCAGGAAGAATTGACCCTCTCCTTCATTATATTCCTATTGTATCTGTATGTGCTTCTGTCATCGGGCCTGTTCCATATTATTGCACTTAGTTTTTACATGTCTGTCTGTCTTTAATATGAGCCTTTTAAAGTCAGACATATTTAGAGAATGTGAATTAAATTCATCTATTCAATAAATATTTATCGAACTTCTGTTTTACTAGTACATTTTAGAGGAGGGAATAAATCTGTTATGATTTCAGCATATCTGGATTTCTTGTGTTGAATATGACTGTATTTCCACAAAAAGACTAATCGATTCATGAATTTTCTAATATGTCTCTCCTTATTTCAGATACTGAATGCATTATCTCTTTCAGCATAACATCTCAGAATTTGTTTGACAAAGTCATTGTAGTAGGCCACTACACATACTACAGTTTTGTCTTTTCTGTTTCTAAAACAATGTATGCCCACCCTGAACATGTGGATTAGTGTGTTTCTTCTCTTAGGAAGGTAGCTCCAGCTGAAGTGAATGTACTCGTTTGATTTTTTTCTCAACACTGAAAAATCTTTCTAATGTGGAGTAGTACCACTTAAATGGAGATAATTCAGTCAACCAAAGGTATCAAAAGGTGTAAAACTTTTAGAATAATAAATGGTACCAGTGGTGAAACTTTGTTAAGAATCTAAGATATATTAAATAACAGATAGTTGCTTTTATTAGGTCCATAATATAATGAACAGAAGCATAACCAAATTTTAAACTACTAAAAAATTATAAAAAGAAAGGTGTTATCTAGTGGGAAGAACATTGCACTGGATAGGTTTGTCACTTAAACTAGTTTTCAAGCCCAGGCAAACTGCTTTACCTCTGAACTGTAGCTCTTTCTCATTTTGTAGTCATTATAATAGGCACCCTGTCAGAATTATACAGGGCAAGTTAATTTGGGGTACAAATAAGAGAAATAAATGTGAAATTACTTTATAGATCGCTGTTATGAAATTGTGGTAGTCTTATGTAAGGTATGCACTAGCAATGAACATTTAAAACTGCATTTTTGAAAAAAATTTTCTTATATTCCTTGTTTTTTAAAAAACATAGCTCTGTTATCCCAACAATAGGCTATGCATTTTGCATTTGTGCTCACATATTCACATTCTGATAATCCTGTAGCCAACAGATATTTAGAATCTCTGGTTGGCTCTGATCTTTGGCTGTGTAGTAGGTGAAAGCTTACAGACCCATATAGGGTGGCACCATACACTGACCTCAAAAAGATCATTGTTGTAGCTACCAAAGTTTATTTAGCTTAATAATTTGCACAGCAAATACCTGCGTAATAGATGTATTATGTATACATGCACACATTTATCATATTCCTCATTTTATTATGTGGAGCTTTGAAAAATTACCACTGGATAAGAAAAGATATAAAAGTTTAGAATCCTTTTCGGAGACTACATTTTTAATTATTTCAGGGCTGGGGTACCTGGGTGGCTCAGTCGTTAAGCGTCTGCCTTTGGCTCAGGCCATGGTCCCAGGGTCCTGGGATCGAGCCCCACATTGGGCTCCCTGTTCCACGGGAAGCCTGCTTCTCCCTCTCCCTCTCCCCCTGCTTGTGTTCCCTCTCTCACTGTCTCTCTCTCTCTGTCAAATAAATAAAATATTAAAAAAAAAATAATTGGGGCGCCTGGGTGGCTCAGTCAGTTAAGCATCTGCCTTCAGCTCAGGTCATGATCCCAGGGTCCTGGGATCGAGCCCCGCATCAGGCTCCTTGCTCGGCGGGGAGCCTGCTTCTCCCTCTCTGTCTGCGTGTCACTCCCCCCTGCTTGTGCTCTCTCACTCTCTCTGTCAAATAAATAAATCTTTAAAAAAATAATAAAAAAATAATTATTTCTGGGCTGTTCGGTCTTTTAAATGCTGAGTAGAAAATACCTTCTGAGCTGGAAGGGCTGCCAATTCCCTACTCGTTGTGGTGTCTGCTCATTACACTAGAGGTCAGTATTGCCTTGCCATCTGTGGCAGTCCTATACGTTAATGGATTAGTCTATCAAGGCTGCTATTATTGGTAAGAGGAAATATCCATGTACTCTATAAAAGGCTAATTAGTTATAAAAGTTATAATTAAATATAGGCTGTGAATATATTTTACAGACTTTTTCTCTACAGATATTTATTAATATAAAAATTTAAAACCAAACTGAAGTGTACAAGTATTGAATCATGTTGTATATCTGAAATTAATATAATATTATATGTCCATTATACTTTAGTAAAAGGAAAAAAAGACTGCAGTTTACAAAATAACCCCCAAACTGAAAAAGACAGTCTTATATGATATAAAGCAATTGTATTTCTTTTAGGATATATCTGAAGAGATTATAGGATCACCCATCCCAGAACCTAGGCAACGCTCAAGACTTTTAAGATCTCAGTCAGAAAGCTCTGATGAAGTTACAGAATTGGACCTTTCACATGGGAAAAAAGATGCTTTTGTTTTGGAGGTATTATTGCATTAGAGTAATTTCTTAAAGTTTTTGGAAGATAAGATTTTCATTGTTACAATCAGATCCTAAATTGATGTGGTGTGATTTTGTATTATTACAACTGCTATAAATATATAAAAATTTTATTATAGAAATTACAACAAATTTGAAAATACTAGAAGCTGGTATTATATTTTTTTGATCAACACCAGGTACAATAATGCAGGTAGTTCTGGAAAAATTAATGTATGGGTTGAAATAAAATTAAAATAATGCTAAGCTTAAAAATAATGCTAAATTCTTAGAGCTATTTTTGTAAACTTTAATGAATTTAATTAAATTAAAATGCTGTTCTTTGACTTCCTATGTCTACTTGCTTCATGTGTTATAACATGTTAGTATAATTGTATCCTTTTACATGTGGTATAACAGCACTACGAATTCTGAGTGTAGTGTTTTCTTACTGAATTCAGAAGGTATAGTTGAACTTCCATTATAAAAATACACTCAGAACTTTCCTGGAGAATAAATGTGGCATGGAAGATGTATGGAGCCTCCTACCTCACAAATCTGCTCCCTCTGCCCTGCCCTGTAGATAGTTAGCTTTGATGGAGATAGATTATCTTCCTTTGGTATTAAGGAAAGGAAAACAAATGAGGATACTCAGAAATGTTCTGGTAGGTTCCGGTTGAGAGAAAAAATCAGATGCCTTTATTTTAGGAAAGCAGAAAGCTCATGGTAGAATTGTATTGGGATGGGATTAGAAGTTTGAAGAATCTATAACAGTGCCCATGATCGTGATCAGGTTGTTAGCCATGGGAGATGCACAAGACTTAACTGAGATGAGAGTGTTAATTTGTAGAAAACTCAGACTGTATGGATGTGTGCCTGTTTCTCATCTTTTTCTACAGTCTGAGAATGAAAAAAAAATGGAGGTTGGTAAAAGAATATGTCAGACTGAGGAGGTAGAAGGTTCTAGGGTACTCTTTGGGGTGGTGCCACTTAAAGTGTGCTGTGACTACCTACAGCATCAGCAGCCATCTGGAATCTTGTAAGAAATGCCAATTCTGGAGCCCTTGCTTCAGACCTAGTAAATGAAAATTTCAAGGTAGGTCCCAGGAATCTGTTTAACAAACTCTCCAGTGATTCTTAGCATTCTAGAATATTATTGATCTTTATGGTCCTGGATCCTGGCTAAGCAGAGAATGAAGGTGCTTCAGATCTGGACAGAAGGCTGAGAACAGAGGCAGATTCAGTAAGAGAAGGAACAGACAGGACATTGTAGTTGGATCTGCGTGTGGAATGTTTTTGGGAATAGTGGGTTGAGGTATGGCCATGACTGTGGGTAACTAAAGTTAAAAATGGTTCTTAAAGTCTCAAGGGTAATGTGAAGGGACGCTTGAAGTGTGTGAGAGTCAGTTAGACTCCCGATGTACAGATGAATGTCAGTATATGTCTAGTTGGATATTTTCACTATTTATTATTCACAATGGAATACTGTGATACAAGAAAAATAGGATTTGGGTTTTTGTTTTTTTTTTTTAGATGTGCCTTTAAATTTATCCCTATGTAATTCAGTTTTAAAGCAGTTTTGTATTTAAGTCAAAAGATCTTTTTTTTTTAAATTGCACTTTATTAACTTATACAAGTAGAGATGATAATTGCTTATGGTGTCTTTGTAAGCCTTTTGAAACATGTCCTCATAAAGGCTTGAGAAAAGGCTCTTTTTTTTTTAACTGAATATACATTATAATGTGAAATATTAGAAGTATTTATAATGTGGAGAAATTTATAGATATTAGAACTTTTTTTCAAGTTTTGTTTTTTAATTTAGGGAAAAATGGCTCTGCCTTGACTCTGATGTTTTCTTTTTAGTAAATAATAAAAACAATGATTTTTTTAAAATTTGAAATTATACATTTAATACATAATAGTTCTAATATTTTTATTTTCAGATTGATGACACAGATGCTATGGAAGATGTACATTCTCTGCTTACTGATGTTCCTCCTCCTTCAGGTGAACAGAAAAAACTTACTTTTGAGATGAGACTAGTTTTATATATCAATATTTTAGTTCATAAATTATTATAGTACTAACTTTATTTTAAAGGCTTTATCAGTGTCACATCCTGTCATGTACTTTGCTGCTCCAAGACTAAAAACCATAGTTTAAAAATATTTATGTCAGTGGTGGGGGGTGGGAGGGATGGGGTGGCTGGGTGATAGACACTGGGGAGTGTATGTGCTATGGTGAGCGCTGTGAATTGTGTAAGACTGATGAATCAGACCTGTACCTCTGAAACAAATAATACATTATATGTTAAAAAAGAGAGAGAGAGAGAAGATAGTAGGAAGGGAAAAATGAAGGGGGGGAATTGGAGGGGGAGATGAACCATAGAGACTGTAGACTCTGAGAAACAAACTGAGGGTTCTAGCGGGGAGGGGGTTGGGAGGATGGGTTGGTCTGGTGATGGGTAATAAGGGGGGGCACGTATTGAATGGAGCACTGGGTGTTATATGCAAACAATGAACTGTGGAACACTACATCAAAAACTAATGATGTAATGTATGGTGATTAACATAACATAATAAAATAAAATTTAAAAATATATTTATGTTAGAACTTAGGTGAACTGAGGGGGCGCCTGGCTGGCTCAGTAGAGCATGTGACTCTTGATCTTGGGATTGTAATTTCGAGCCCCATGTTAGGTGTAGAGATCACTAAAAACTAAAATCTTAAAAAAAAAAGTAGGTGAACTAAATTTTTTTTTTTTTTAAAGATTTATTTTATTTATTTGAGAGAGAGCTCACCTGCACGAGCAGGAGGAGGGGCAGAGAGGGAAAAGGAGAGGATCTCAAGCAGACTTCCCACTGAGCACAGAGCCTGTGGGGCTTGATCTCCCAGGACCCTGAGATCATGACCAGAGCTGAAATCAAGAATCAGACGCTTAACTGACTTGAGCCACCCAGGTGCTCCTAGGTGAACTGATTTTTAATCCTTTTATGTTCATACATTTAAAAAAAAACCCAAACTGATAATTTGTTAAGATGGTCTAAAGCTTACTGAAGGTGTAGTGTTTTAGAAAAAAAGAATAAATAGATCTTATAGTTAGAATTCCATGTAATAAGTGAAAAATGTTATTCTTTAACATAAAAATAGATGAAATATTATCAAATAGTTTAACTATGATTTATTTTGACAGGCTTTTATAGTTGTAATACAGAAATTATGCCTGGTATAAATAACTGGACATCTGAAATACAGGTAAACCTTTCATAATTTTAAGCAAATACAACATAATGTGATTTTAGCAAGTTCCTTCTTAATATGTTTTCTCTTTGACCACCTTATTGCAACTAAAATGTTAGCCTTTTTCATACCACATTATTTATTATTACTCATTATTTGGCAGTTTTATCAACTGTTACAGTATTTAGTTAAAAATAATAAAATGACATGCTATTATATCTCCCCATATTTAGATGTTCACATCAGTAAGAGTAATCCGATTAAGCAGCCTTAACCTGACTAATCAAGCCCTTAATAAGAACTTTAATGATCTCTGTGAAAATTTGCTCAAGGTAGGAACCTTTTGACTAACTATATTTTAGTTAAATCTCCTAAGAATTATGAAATTAAAAAAGTGTGTATATTATCTGGAGTATCTTACACAGTTGTGGGTTGAATGATTTTTATTTACATATTGTATTAATCTTAACTCTCTCACTGGTAAAATGCTAAAGCTGTCCTCTCCATCTTAATAAGCCACACTATTAAATACATTTTAAGTTATTTCATAATTTTAAGCTTCATAGAAATCTATTGTATATGTGTAAATGAAAAATTTTTTCTTATATTTTTATGACTTATTGATAAATATGATTAAATCTATTGTCTGCTTAAATATTTAAAATAATGTAAGAATACACAAAATAGAAATGGACCAGCTTTGTTTTAATCTTTTAAACTTTTCTTTTGCCATGATATAATGCTCAGTGAAAAATCAGTTTTGAAAAATTTTTAGGGGCGCCTGGGTGGCTCAGTTGGTTAAGCGTCTGCCTTCGGCTCAGGTCATGATCCCAGGGTCCTGGGATCAAGCCCTGCATCGGGCTTCCTGGAACTCCGCAGGAAGCCTGCTTCTCCCTCTCCCACTCCCCCAACTTGTGTTCCCTCTCTCGCTGTGTCTCTCTCTGTCAAATAAATAAATAAAATCTTTAAAAAAAAATTTTTTTTTTAAATTAAAAGAAGTGATATTACTAATATTTTCTGTTATGTAGAGCCTGTATTTTAAACTGCGGTCTATGATCCCCTGCTGCCTTTGCCATGTAAATTTTACAGTATCTCTGCCTGAAGATGAATTAATACAGGTAATTAAGATTCAGTTTATTATTAAAGAAGATTTCTAGCTTTTATCTGATGTTTTAATATTATAAATCTGCCATAATTGAATAAATATAAAGGATTTTACTTCAAAATATTTTTAAACAAACACACTAGAATGAATCAGACCACATATGTTTTATTTTTCTGAACTCTGAATTATCCAAAGGTAGAATCACATTTCTCGCATATATACAATAGGATGTATTCTTATGTGGGATTTCTTCAGTCTCCATATTTTAGAGAAGGTACTTGAGCTCTTTTCTGGAATATCTAGGGTTAGGTATATGTGTCAGACTCAGTTGTAGTCTAAATATCTGCGGTTATCTGTAATTCTGGTTGAGAATTTTAACTAGCAAAAGCAGATGAGCCAGTTAATATAAATTGTTCCATTGTACTGAAGATTTTTGAGAAACTTATTTTGTCAGTGATTATTTTGCTAATCAAATTGTTTCTGTAATTCTAGGTTACAGTCACAGCAGTTGCAATAACTTTTGACAAAAATCAGGCTTTACAGACCACAAAAACACATGTTGAAAAGTCACTGCAAAGAGGTAAACCTGTGATGGATGGGAGCATAGTTAATGTTTATCTACAGTTATAGTTAAGTGAAAAAGGTAGATTAAATAAATGACTTGTTTCTTGAAGAAGAGATACTGTCACTTTTTCTGTTTATCTTTTTCAAGATAACTTTGTGGTTGACTTGGTATTTTTCACATGTGAATAGGTGGTTGACTGGTGTTTATTTACATAGAGAATGCTGCTATTTTTTAGACTTAGATTTTAACATATTCTGCGGTAATTTAGAGGTTTCTGTCCTAGGATCTCTGGGGAGGTCTTCAAGGCATCTGAGAACCTACTGATGTAGTAAGCACCACGTATTTTTCTTAGGAAAGGTCCTCAGAGTTGTCCTTTATCCAGTAAAAATCTAGGAAGTACCATTTTTAATATATCCCAGAGAAACTCAAATTGTTAAAAATTGCTATGTGTTCTGAAAAAAGGAGAGGGAAATAGTATGCTTTCTAAAATTTAGGTACGTAGCAGCTAAATAAAATATTCACGATTAGTCTAAAATTTTTATAGTTGATTACATTCTACATGTAAAGCATTGAATTAATGTTAAATAGAGATGTATTAAACAATTACGTTCAGATATTTATCAAAGAAGATAGAAAATAGCTGGTTTAAGTATCATAGAACCAGTATGGTACAAAGAATAGGATAATAATAGTTGTTACTGAGTTTATTATTTGGAAGGCATTGTGCTAAGAGATTTATACTTAGTATATTTTTTCGAAGACTCACTACAGTCCTAGCAGGAAAGATAGCATCTTTCATCATCGTGCAGGTGAAGGATGGGTCTCCATGGGAGAAACCAAGAAGAAAATAACCAGAATAAATTGGATTTGGGGAAATATATATTTTATCCCAGATTCTTAATTTAAAAAAAATAATACTAGATCATTACTAAATAACCAGTGTTTTTCTTGCCTCTCAAGCCTCTACAGATAATGAAGAACTTCTGCAGTTTCCACTGGAGCTCTGTTCAGATTCACTTCCTTCTCATCCTTTTCCACCAGCTAAAGGTTGGTTAAGTGAGGGAAATGCAAACACAAATCCTAGTTTCTAGTTCCTTTTACTTCTTCATCGTAGGCAGTTTTACTTAATCTTGAGATGAAGATTTATTCTTCATTCCCTCATTGTCTATTTCTTCATGGTCATACAGGGGAGAGAGTAATAATTCCTTTTATTTTAATTTCTCAGGTAATCTTATCATAAATTATTAAGGTTTAAGGAGCATCATGTGATGTTCCATTCTTATACTTCAAATGTATTAAAATTTTATTTTCAGAGATCTGGATTTCCCAAAGTAACTATTCACACGTGATATATTGATATTTATATCTGGTAAGGTTTTTCCAGCCACAATAGAAATTTTACAAAAATTTTTAGATTTTTATAGACAACAAAATACTGATTTTCTTCAGAAGAAATGTGGAGAGAGGTTTGGGTTTGGGTAGTACAAGTGAGAAAGGGATGAGCTGTCTTTTGAGTGTCTTGGTTATTGAGGAACATTGTTATGTACTTAAAAGATACTGCCATATTTTCAAATGCAAAATGATAGTCTCTTAACTTAATAGCAGTTAAATCTACCTAGATCTGTACTAATGGGAGGTAGTATTTTCTATTTCTCTTCTGATTTCAGGGCAATTTTTATTATACGAATTTTCAGAATTACTGTACCTTATTTCGTAGCATTAGTTATGATACAGAATAGTTTTATATTCACATTGCATCTATGTCAATAGAATCATTACTAAATTAGTGCAGAGCCTGTTTATGTATGTAGGTAAATAGATCTTGTCTCATATTTTGAAAATGAAAAGATAAGCTACTTTCAGATTCTGAACTTTCTAACATGGTAACTGTGGTCTTCTTTCTTTTTTTATCTAAACTAAAATTCTAATTTAGAACTCGATAGAGAATTTTAGCATAATTGAACTCCTTGAAAGAACAGAGAGGAAAAAATCAAATCCAAAGATAATTTGAGTTCAGATTTATAAATTAAATACAGCTTCCAGAACAAAAAGAACTGTGAAGAATCTTCCTTAGAACTGGGTAGACAGAATTTTTTAAAAAAACACCTACTTTATACAGAAACTTGTATTTAACGTAAGGTTAATTCCAAATCAGTTTTAGGTGTCGTTTCGTTTGTCCTTACCCTGCAATGGAAGGGGTGCAATGTGGAGGGGGGACCAAAACCAAAAATCTAATCAGCAACAACAAAAAGATTTGATCAGTTGCTAATATATAGGTATATATATTTATGCAGATCGGGTCCCTATTAGCTCACTTTTACCTTGTTAATCATTACTGATTTCTGCAGAAGATTGGATTTAAATTCTGTAAATTTGTCATATCTACATTGATACCTTGCAGTTTCTGCATTAGCTTTCAAAATGTTTTCAAAGGTCATTAGAATTCGTGCTTGTGGGTCATTAGTCTATTTTGTACAAATGATACTCTGAACTGAAGAACAACAAAAGAAGAATTTGAGTAGAGTAAGTCCTATCTGAGCAGTACTTAAAATATTGCAATTTATTTTGTAGTGTGGAGAGGGGCCATAAAGTGGAGTAATAAAGTAGCATACCTCGATTCTCTTCTCAGTTCTGCTACTGATAGTGTGAGAACTTGGCCCAGTAACCTCTAATAAGCCAGTTAAGCCTCAGTTCCTCATCTGTAAAGTGTGAAAAGATTAAGATTCTCTCTACCCTTTAAAATTCTGATTCCTTGGGTTTCTGTGGTTTATGGTTTTTCAATAATTAACATGTTTCTATTATTAAAAACAAATCAAAAGCCAATTAATCAAAATCAAAAGCTAGTGTTACATTCAAAATTTCCAAATAGCTTCAAATCTGTTAAACCAGTAATTTTTAAACTCTGCTTCTCCAAAAGGCAGGGTGGGAAGGGAGCTGAGGGGAGAGTGGAGGAGTGAGAGGATGGGTCTCTGGACCCCCTTCCTACCCTTGAAATAGAGCAGCTTTGATTCAGTATGCTTTTATTTATTGATTTTCTGTATGTGATTTTGTTGTAAGAGTTTCAAAAAGTTTGAAAACCACTGAATCAGATCATGCTGCCATCATCATCATTTTCATAGTGTTCAATAGCATTACATCTAATACTAATATATATAAAACTTTTTTACTAAGTATTAACTGCAAAACTTACGTGCTTTTCCTTGAATATTACATTTTAAAATCATCAGTAAACACTAAATAGTTTACCTGTACCTTTTTATAAATAGTTGTGTAAATTGTAGTTTACATTGCATGCTTATTTACTGTCTTTGCTTTCTCAAGTCTTTTCAGGAGGACATGGGCTATCCTAAATATACTTGAAAAAGTTATCACAAAGTATTTTGGAAGATTTGAGGATGGGGTTTTGAAAAGGTCTGAAAAATGTAATAGAGTGTAATATATGAATGTAGTAATTGAGTATTGTAACATGAAAGGTTTTAAATAGAGAATAGAAATATGTGGCAAAAGTTAAGCTTAGCAATTTAGAAGTAACAAGCAAGAGAGGAAGGTAAGGGTGCTAGGAATAAATGCTCAAAAAATTTCTCTATTTTCTTATATGCAACCACAAGAGGCTTAAAAGTTAACTGCTAATACTGATAAGTAAATAAATGTATAGTTTTTATGGTTTTGTTAGGTCAGTTTGCTAAGCTGATGGAGCTTTTTCCTTTTTTTTAAATTCTGAAAACTTTGAATCCTAATTTATTTTTCATGTTCTTATTACAAATTTGGTGATTTATTAAAATTTCTCTTTTATGTTGACAGTAGTTTCAAGAGCTAAGCACAGTATATATTAATACTTCCATCTTTTAACTTGTAGATAAACCTTTCTGATAATTATCTTTTTATGTTACTGAAGATGAGTGAATATTATGTGAAGAAAAGATGCTTCAATTACATGTATTCTAATTCACTGTGTAGAGTAAGCCTGGGCCTGAATTGTCCATCCATGTTCAATTTTTTCCTTTCATCTTTGGTTATATTTAGTTTCGTTTCTCAAGGTAACAAGATAGTTTGATGTTGGTTTGGTTACCTTGCTCTAAGTATTTGATTTTTCTGATTTGAAATATTAAAAGGTGCTGAGCCTGAGTAATTTCTTCCAGGAAATTATCATGTGAAGGTCATCAAAATTCTTGATGAATACTAAGGAAAATAGATGATTGGCATCAATGTAAATTACTTATATGAGGCTGTATTATGAGAAAAAGGAGGTATAACAAACTTTTTACACCACTCCCATGATGTTTTTTCCTCATCATTAATGTCTGTACTTTAGTTTTCTGAATATTTACTACTTTACTCTGAAATGGTTTTAAGAGACTTTAAAAAAAAATGTTATCAAGGGATAGAGCAAATACAGTGAAAATGGAGAATCTGAGTGACAGTAAGTAATCTGGGTGAAAAGTAAAAAAAAATAAGATTTGTTTTACAGACTGTAGTTGATCCCAAAAATTTCATATGCATGTAGTTTTTATAGAAGGTTAGCATATTATTTTTGATACATGTCTAAAGACCTAAATCTCAATATCTTAGATACCATACTGTGGGGCTTAAGATCTTAGATAAATGTGTGTGAATCATGTGCCACTATAAATATTTCAAGTACTTTATAATTTCAATCTATAATAGGATAATAGTTTTTTAAAATTAAAATTCTAAGAGTTCAAGCCTTTAAAAAGGTTTAATTAAGTCAATTTAGTTTTTATATACTGTTGGGTGAAACTGTATAGAAGAAAAGTCGTTTATACCAACTTTGTTCCTGCTTTTGTTTTGCTTTATGCTGGAGTGATAGCCTCACGTTCGATGGCATAATAGGCTGGCAGGAGTACTCTTTTCATTAAGCAGCTGCCGATTAATGTGACAAACATAGGCCAAAATCTGGATTTCAGTATAAAAATAAAACCCTCAATACATTGTACTCCATAATTAGGTATCACATTTGAAGTTTTGTTATCTTTATTTTTATTGAGGCTATAATATGGGTTATTTTTTTGTTAAGCCAAATTTGATTCTAAAAGGTAGTTTAATTTTTTAAATTTAATGACTTGCCTTACATTTTTTAAGCTAGTGATTAGAAATATAAGCCTATAAAAACTACAAGAGTTAGCTTTTATTTTATCCTGCCAATGAATGGTTCTAAATTCTTAACAACTATTACACAATTCTTTGCACAAACTAAAAATATCTTTATGTATTAACAATTCATTGCATGTCTGTTTTTTCTCTCTTTTTAAAATGTATTTTATTGGGGCGCCTGGGTGGCTCAGTCGGTTAAGCGTCTGCCTTTGGCTCAGGTCATGGTCCCGGAGTCCCGGGATCGAGCTCCGTATCGGGCTCCCTGCTCAGCGGGAGGCCTGCTTCTCCCTCTCCCACTCCCCCTGCTTGTGTTCCCTCTCTCGCTGTCTCTCTCTCTCTCTGTCAAATAAATAAATAAAATCTTTAAAGAAAAGAGGGGGGCATCTGCCTTTGGCTCGGGTCATGATCCTGGGGTCCTGGGATTGAGCCCCACATCGGGCTCCCTGGTCCGCGGGAAGCCTGCTTCTCCCTCTCCCACTCCCCCTGCTTGTGTTTCCTTTCTCGCTGTGTCTCTCTCTGTCAAATAAATAAATAAAATCTTTAAAAAAACAAAACAAAACATAAAATGTATTTTATCATTATGACCAAATGGTAGCAAAAATAAAAAGTGCTGAAGTTCTCCATGTTATTGATGTCCCCAACAATTAGTAAGAAGAAAGGAGAGAGATGCTGAGGGGAAGGAGATTGAAGGGAAAATAAAGTAAGGAGTGGAAAACGTATGAGAAATTTATCCCAGACATGGGAAGGAAGGAAGGAAAGAGAAAATTGATGGAGGAGTGGAGATAAGGAATCTTTGCTTCTTCAAGGCAGCTTGAGTTCAGTGAAATCCAGAGTCTGAGGAAGAGGGAGTAAGCAACAAAGAAAATTGAATTGGGTTACTCACGAAAATTGGCGTTATTTGGAAGAGAAAATCTGAAGGGTACGAGGGAGGGGAGAAGTGGATGCCTGGAAACAGAGGCAGGAAAATAGAAGATGGGGATTGAAGAAAAGTGGTTTAGGCTGTTGTACACCTTTAGCTGGAAGCTTTAATGACCCAAATGGAGAAGCTAATTGTGTTTGTCATCTAATGTATGTATTGTGATGGTAGTTGAGTTTTTCCCCTTAGTGGGCTATGCAGATTGAAGCTATTTATATTTTTCTCTATGCTTTAATAATTTTTAGCTATAATATGGCAATTTCATCATCAATCCACCAATATTTGAATACCATTATGGACAAGGTTTATACACATAATTTGTTTAAGTCCGTCATTAAGCCAGATTTTATAGTTATAGGACATAGCTAATCAGTGCATTATAGATTGATGGAAATGCCAAAAGAGACATAAAACCAAATTTTGATCATAATAACTTAAAACTGAGAATGTTTAGGGACCTGGGTGGCTCAGTCAGTTAAGCGTCTGACTCTTGGTTTCGGTTCAGGTCATGATCTCAGGGTCCTGGGATCGAGCCCCATGTTGGGCTTTGCACTCAGTGAGGAGGCTGCTTGAGATTCTTTCCCCCTCCCCCCATACCCGCTCTATCTCTCTAAAATAAATAAAATCTTTTTAAAAAGTTTAAAATACAAAGCCCAAGAATGTTTTATTTTTAAAATTTTTTTAAAGATTTTATTTATTTGAGAGAGAGAAGCAGACTCCCTGCTGAGCAGGGAGCCAGACATGGGGCTCCATCCCAGGACCCCAGGATCGTGAACTGAGCTGAAGGCAGATGCTTAACCCACTGAGGCGCCCCATTTATTTTTTAAAAAAACTTTATTTTTAAAAAGATATTATTTATTTGAGATAGCGCGCGAGAGAGTATGAGCAGGGGGCAGAGGGAGAGAGAAGCAGACTCCCCGCTGAGCAGGGAGCCCAGCTCGGGGCTGGATTCCAGGACCCCTGAGATCACAACCCAAACAGAAGGCAAGCGCGCTTAACCTACTGAGCCACCTAAGTGCGCCCCCCTACCCCCCGCCCCCGAGAATGTTTAAATAACTAAATAAAGTATACATTTTTAAAGACTTCAGATTGTATATGTTTTCTTTTAAGTAGGATCCATGCACATCATGGGGCTTGAACTCACAACCCCAAGATTAAGAGTTATATGCTGTAGGCACTGAGCCAGCCAGGCGCCCCAGATTACATATATTTTAATCTGCCAGAGAATCGTCAGAAGTTTCAGGAACTTTTTTTAGTTTTAGTAATTTTCTTAAGATGACCAGATAAGATTATCTCAGATATTTTTTAATTATTCAGAACAAAGATGATCTGTAAATTCTAATGATATAAAGTGAACAACTTGTCAGAGGAGTTAGTGATCAGCGTAGAGCTTTATCATAGCCAGCTGATACCTTTGTCATTTGTTATGACTATTTAGAAGAATGGAGAAGTCTCAAACGTCAGAAGCACTGGAGCATGTATAATTGAGGGAGGAAGAATTCTTGCCACATTGTTTTCTGTTGGTCATCAATATGCTCATTTCTATTCAACTGCTTTTAACCTAGGTTAGTCCCCCCTCCCCACTGATAGGCCTTGTTAAATATTGTTAGAGTATACTAAAAGAATAATAAAATCTTATGTTCTTTTTGCCTTGCTGACTTTCTAGGGTTGTTCATTTATAGATAACAGGGTTATCACCTACTGGTGACTTTTTAATGGAGCAAAATAATCATTTTCTTGTATCCAGTGGGAAAGGAAATTGTAAGAGATGTGGGCTGCTGTGTGGCTTGATTGAGACTTTCTGCAGCAAAATGGGGGGAACCTTACATAAAAAGTGTTTGTCTCAAACTCTTCTACATAGATAAGGCTGACAATGGGCATTAGCTCCTCAACAAAGCCCAAAAGATGTTAGTAAGATTTCTAATCCTGGATATGAAATATGTTGTCTTTTTTTTTTTTTTAGAGATTACATATGGGTTTATTTCTTTTTCACCATAATTACTAGTGTATCAATGAGCCAGACAGCTAATACCTGCAATACCTTCTGTTTTGAGAAGCCTGTTACCTTGGAAGCCAAACTGTAATTGGAAGAGCAGAGTGACTGAGAATCTGAGGTCATTAGATACCTGAGGTATTCAAATGTCTGAGGTGTCAATGTTCAGCTGTTCCCAGGACCATCTCATTTTGGGCCTTTTCTCTGAGAGAAAAATTAAGATCCTAGCAAACATGTTAGATGAATCTGCTCTCCCAAAATCATCTATTTTTTTTTTTAAAGATTTATTTATTTATTTATTTGAGAGAGAGAGAATGAGAGAGAGCGAGTACATGAGAGGGGAGAGGGGCAGAGGGAGAAGCAGACTCCCCGCTGTGCAGGGAGCCCGATGCGGGACTTGATCCCGGGACTCCAGGATCATGACCTGAGCCGAAGGCAGTCGCTTAACCAACTGAGCCACCCAGGCGCCCTAAAATCATCTATTTTAACCTTTCCCTTAAGCATATCTGCAATTTACAAAGGGAAGAAAGAGAGAGAGAGAAACAGACTCTTAATTACAGAGAACAATCTGATGGTTACCAGTGGGGAGGGGAGTGAAGGGATGGGTTAAATAGATGATGGGGATTAAGGAGTGCCCTTGTAGTGATGAGCACTGGGTGCAGTATGGAACTGTTGAATTACTATATTACTATATTGTGTAATTGAAACATATAACACTGTATGTTAACTGGAATGAAAATAAAAACTTAAAAAGAATATCTGCAATTTAAAAACTTTTTTTTTCAGATATTAATTCAAATACATTCATATGTGGAGGCAGGGAAAAGACCCACTTCTCCACCCTTTGTAAAATTTTTTGGGAAAAGTAATAAATGTGCATGGTGAAAAATTCAAATCTTACCAAAAAATCATACAGTCCAAAATCAAACTCCCTTCTCCATTCGCTTCCCTTTTCAAGAGGCAACTACCCTCAATCAGCTTTATTGTCTGTCTTTGCAAAGATACTGTTTTTTATTTAAAAAAAAAAACAAGTATTTTACAGATCATTGTGTACTTTTTTTTCACTTGTTATTTAGGGATGAGAGCAGATACTTAGTACATGTTTAAGCTCTTGTTGTGGACATTTGTCATTAAGTTATACACAGTTGCTACTGGGGAATTTCATATTACTCAGATAATACTGAGATATAGAAGACAGTTTCACTTTAGTAATTTTCACATTATTTTTTAGCTTTTGCCCCCTGTTCCCTCATTTTAAAAACTTGCACAGAATTCCTAATGCCCACTATATTTTATGTAAGTCTGTACTCTCCAAGTCTGTACTGCATAGGACATAGGAGAGCCCTGGACTCTCCCGGCATTTGTAAGCTTGGGTAAGCATTTGCTGTCCCAGCTTCTGCACTACAGCCTTTTTCAGTGCTGAACTAGCTGTCCCTAGAGATGTGGTAAGCTTCTGAATGTCAGTTCTGTTCTGGTCTCCTTCCTGTCGGTTCCATCTCCTTCCGGGTTCCAAAGCTCCTCAGGATCCTGAATCAGGGAGGACGTTTTCTTGCCTAGATCTTCAGCCTGAGGGCATGATGGTCAGAGCACATCCATAGCATGGTACCCTCACAGTCATTTTGTGGATCCTGCCTAGTGATCCTATTTACTCAACAGCCCAGTATTATAAGAGGAATGACAGTCACTATACACTTTCCAGTATTAGCTAGTTGTCACTTGCTTTATAAAAATGGGAAGAGGGGGGAGTATGAGAGATACTCCCATTGCACCCAATTAGCAGAAACCTGTACAAATCTTATCTTTAAAAGGTATAACTTTTATTAAAAATATTACCAAAAGATTAACACATTAAGCAGAGATAAAAATATGTATTTACTTAATTTATAAGTTTAAAAAAAAACTGGGTGACTGAAATTCTCAGTTTTTTTTTTTAGTTATTTCTAACTCAGCAACACTATTCTTTCAGTTATAAAATTCTTTGAAACAAAAATTCAAATATGCTAATGTAGGTAGAGTCTGAACTTTAAAAAATAGATTATGAAGTTTTTTTTATTAGTGCCGTTTAAATTTGTACAATACTTTAAATAGCGATAATAAAAATACAAAATACTAAGGAAAATTCTGGATGCTCCTTTTACAAGGTTACTGGAAAGGGAGTGATTCCTGTTTGGGATCTAGTTCTATCTGTGGGGAGCACTTTTTAGTTCTATGATGTCTTGATACCACCAGAGGGAGCTGTTGATAGTGAAGTCCCTGAATGAAGGGGGGTTGGCGAGGGGGAGGGTTATGGCTAGTAAGTAAGCAGTTTGTGTTTATCTGTGAGACATAGGTCATTGCCTGGTCTATAATTTTTAATCTTATTGGCTCCTCCCCCCCCCACACACAAACATTTTCCTTCCATGTTTCATTTCAGATTTTCTTCCTAATACATTGATGCTTTTCTCTGCTCAGTTTTCTCACCCTGCTTTCATCCTACTAACATTTGTTACTATGTTTATATTTTCTCATGTCTATAATGTTTCTGAAACTCTTCTTGTGTTACAGTAACAAGTAGTCTTCCTTGGCATGATATTTATTAACTGAGCTAGTTTTCATAAATCAATAGAAACTGCATTTAAAACCTAAATACTTCTATTTGGTTTGCTTTTTATAATGAAGCCATAAAGATTTCCTCTTATTCATCTGGCTTATAGAGGTATTAACAAACAGCAAAGAAGAGATACTGGCTTGTACTTAGCATTCAAGCTAATGTTGTTCATATTGTCTTATTAGAACACCTGGAGAGTGCAAGTTCTAACTCAGGTATACCAGCTGCACAGAGAGGTGAGTTTGTCTAATTAAGCAAATAGTCACCAAAGGTGTGAAAATCTAGTGTGGTGGTGCATAAACATATAGACATTGGAGAAATGCACTGGACAGTGGAATAGACACCAAAATGTGGCTTTATTATAGTTAGAATGTGTCTTTTAAAATATTAATTAAACTAATATTTACATTTTTAGCATTTTAATAGTTTCCCTGTTTCTAAAAATAAAATCTTAGCTCTTTAACACTTTTTAGCTCAGTAATAGTAAAAGCTTTTTTTTTTAAAAAAGGAGAACTTGTTAGACTCCCACCTGCCTCCCCACTTAATGTCATCAGAAGCTTTGTTGCCAAAATCAGATGTGAAAACAGAATATTGACCAAAGTGACCCTTTGGCTTTCCTGTTACTGATGGTAGAAAGAATGTGTTTTAATAAAAGATAAGTCAACTAGTAATTTTTATGTATTCTTCAGCATTTGATTCTCAATATTTTTTTTGATTTTAAGGTAAAAATAGGGAAGGGAATTATTCACAAAGTTTGAATTGTAAATTAAAGTTATAAAATATAGACAGTTAAAACACTGTAAAGTAAAAAGAATGGGAAATAAAGTTAAAGCAGTGTATGGTCCTTTCATTGATATTTCTGTTAGACCTTGTTTCCATTTCCCCTAAGCGACCACACCACTATGATATCGCCAAAAATGCTCAGCCAGCTAATTGAGAACTTGGTTTTGGACAAATCAGTGTCTAAAGCTTGACTCTCTACTATCTCTCATATCTGACTTGAAAAGGACCATTCTTTTTCTAAGTTACAGTTAAATTACGTCATCAGAAGGAGTGTTATGACGAGTAAGAGACGTCATCCATATTTTTTCTTTGTTTTTTTCTTTTGTTTTCTGTCTGTGTTTTCAGCAACGTCAGTTGATTACAGTTCCTTTGCAGACAGATGCAGCAGCTGGATAGAGCTCATTAAACTGAAAGCTCAGACCATAAGGCGCGGATCAATTAAGACAAGTAGGCGGATGTTTCTACCACATTATGATCTGAGAAGCATATCCCTGATTTCCCAGTGGTGAAGGCTAGACCTTACTATCCAGTAATAACATTGCCAATCAATCATGTATTGGAGTGTGAAAGCTGCAGACTCTAATGGTCACTTAGCAAAAGTTATTGAAGGGCCTTTAGATTTGTTCATTTTAACTGTACAATTGTTTTTAAAATTTTACTTTTTGTGAAGGTATTCTTAAAAGTGTATAAATAGATATTATATCCTTCTACTGGAAGGAAATTATGAGCTCTCTTATTGAAGAGACATTCTTCCAGGACCCAAGCTACTATGTAGTAGATGGCATCTGTTAGTTTACTAAGAGTGATGATATCCAAAGGGCTAAAAGAATGAGGTATTTCTGAATAGAAAGTAGTTAATTCTTATCTCACTGCTAGAATCAGCATCATTACTTACATGCTCTTTATACTCCATGTGTTTTGGTAGACTCTGAGGTAAATGTATTTGAGTGAAAGAATTTACATTAAAAAGGAAGAAACGATGTTTTAGAGGAAAGATCACAGGATATGGAACCAGCCAGATCTGGTTTGGGATCCTAGAAGTGTCATTTTAATAGCTGTGTGACCTTGGACAAGTTATTTAACTTCTCTGAGCCTCAGTTTCCTCATGTGTAAAATGGGAATAATAATACCTATGTTGCTGCGTTGTTGTAAGGATTAGATATATATACATATATATGTCTGGCTTATGTTAGTTACTTGTCAAGTGGTAGCTATTTTTATGTTACTTTATATAACAATCAGCTTTTAGACAGCCAAGGTCATTTGTTAAGTTTTTAAAATTATGAGTTTGATCAAAGAGGTTCGGAGAAGAAACCTATTACAACTAGTTAACATAAGGTTTATCTACAAGTTGACAATGATGAAGTCGGCTGAAAAAGATGGAAAAAACTGCACTGGGAAATATAACAACTTTCACACTCTCTTTGTAATAATTTGTTCCTACAGCAGATAATTTTTAATGCTCTACTGCTTTTTCTTTTTCTTCACTTTATAACGATCATTGTGTGTGTAGCTACACCGCATCAACATTTTCTTTTGCAGGAATGCCATTTTTCTTCCAAAAGAATTCCATTCCAGCATTTCCTCTTAAGTTATTCTTTCCCTCTTTTTAATTGCATGCAGTGCATGATAATTTCTTTACTTTCATGACATGGCTTAGCCTCACAGACAGCTGAATGTTGTCACCACTTATTTGGAAACCTTAGGGAATAATTGAGTTACCAACACCTGATCTTGATGTTTTTTCTTCTTTTTCCAAATTTAGCTGTGACAGTTGAAAAAGCAAGTCCTATGGGTGAAGGAAATTTCCGGAACCGTTCAACTCCACCTTGTGCAAATACTACAGTTGGGGTTGTTAAGATGACACCTCTTTCTTTTATTCCTGGAGCAAAAATAACTAAATATCTTGGGATAATTAACATGTTTTTTATTCGGGAAACCACTTCTCTTCGTGAGGTAATTTTATAACATTGTTTTTATGAATTTTCTGATTGAAGACATCAGTAACAAAACCAAACAAATTCCAGATTGTTATTTTTTGCCAAAGTAATCACACACGCGTGCACATATCCACACCTTTTTGTTTTGTTTTGTTTTCAATAACCTGTATGGATTGATTCTAGATTAGACTTACTAAATTTCATATAGCACCTAGTATTATCACAAGAGTTATGTTGGATTTAATTTCATTTATTATTAGAAATCCCAGATCCTTATCATATAATAAATAAAACAAGTAAATTGATCTATGTTTGATTAGAGATTTGAAACAGCCTGAAAGAACAGCTTAGTTTGCTCAGTTATTTGTCTGAGATATATTTAAATAACAGTTTTTTTTTAAGATTTTATTTATTTATTTGAGAGAGAGAATGAGATAGAGAAAGCATGAGAGGGGGGAGGGTCAGAGGGAGAAGCAGACTCCCTGCTGA